TGTCGTCAGAAAAAACACAAAGTATAGTAGGGAGTGAGGTGATGCCTCTGGACTATGGGAGCATGGACTCAGAGAGTAGTCCCTCTCCTTCTAGTCCTCCCCCCTACTTCGTGCAGAGTTTGAGAAAATGTCGTCAAAAAAAACACAAAGTATAGTAGGGAGTGAGGTGATGCCTCTGAACTATAAAAGCATGGACTCAGAGAGTAGTCCCTCTCCTTCTATTTCGGAGAAAACGGTGGAGGGGGTGAGAGGGGATGAGGTGATAGAGGTAGAGGAGGAAGAGGTAGTACAGGTTGAGGGTAATGAGGTGGTAGGGGTTGGAGGAGGTAGCATACCCATAACCGTAGTAGAAGTAGAGGGTAGAGGCAAGAGGGATTATGATGTGAACGCCGAGATAGTGGAAGAGGTGCAGCAGTATAGGTCTGAACTAAGGACCAGGGATAGCTTGGGTCACTTAGTGGAAAATTACGAGATCTCTTCTCGAGTGCTGGTTAGGCCAGCTGGGATAGAGAAGAGAGCGTGTTCTGCTCCTCAGGACCATTGGATGCCCATATATTCCACTATCTGATAGCGAGATTGAGGTTTCCAATTCCTGAGTTGCTGGTAGGATTGTTATTGGATTACAATATAGGGTTGACACAATTAGTCCCCAATGCGGTGAGGGTAATAATAGGATTTTTAGTCTATTGCCGAGCTCAAGGGATTAGTGTGCCAACTGTAAATATGTTTAAGTATTTTTTTGTTTTAAAGGGGGGTAGTAGGAGGGATAAGGGGTGGTATTATTTTACCCCAAGGGTAGCCAATAGGGAGAGTAGGTCTTTATTCACAGCGGGTCCTCCATCCATTAAAGGATGGAAGGAAAAATTCTTTTTTGTAGATGATACGGAGTGGGGGAGGGGGGATGAGGAGGTGAGGGAGTTAGCCTCCTGGAAGGCTAAAAGGGCCAACCATAATAGGTTTAGTTTGAATGAGGATGAGGAAGAAGAAGTGAGGAGGTTGGTGAGGAAGAGGGGGGATTTACTGAACATAATGGACCTCACCAGCGCACAATGCATAGAAGCTGCTGAGCTCTATGGGCCAAGCGCTTTGAGTGAAGGTTGGTTTGATTCTGCATTGTAGTACTGAATGCAGAATATAGAACGGTGATTAATATTGTGTATTCTTACTTTGTAGCTGAAATGGACCAGTTTTTAAACACTGCTGGAGGAGCGACCATCCCCAAGAAGCCAAGGAAGAAGTCAAAGACTTCAACCAAGCAAGTGGATGAGGGGAAGGCGAGGAAGGAGGTAGTGCCCACGACTTCAGCTGAGGCGGAGGAGGAGGTGCCAAAGTTGAAGAGGAAGGGGTGGGAGGAGAGGAGGGCACTGCAGAAGAAGCAGAAGGTGGTGGAGGAGGAGACGGGGAATGAGGTCCCTCTGTTCGTACCTCGGCCTTCTCCTGTTGAGCTGGACCCTGAGCTTAGACAGTTGGAGGAGGGGGCTGAGGTACGAGCTCCTGGTAAGGGAAAGGGCCCTGTTCCCCCACTGGGGTCTCAGAGCAGCCTGTTCGAGGCGAAGAACACAACGAGGGCTAGGTGGTTCATCAACAACACCTTCCCCGAAGTGGACAGATGCAACGCACGGGAGGAAGCTCTGAGGTATGGTGGAGCGTCCGTGGTGAAGCACATTCTAGAGGTATGTTAAAGTATTGATGTTGTTTAGTGAATCTGTTTCGCCTTCTCTTCGTTCTGTCTTAACCTTGGCTTTGATCTGCAGAGCACGAGCTAGGTGAATGGTCTAACCCAGGAATTCAGGAAGAGCCTGAAGGAGTGCTCACTCTTGCAAAGGTAGTGTGACCAACTGCAGAAGGAGAAGGAGGAGTTGGAGAAGAGAAACAAAGAACTGCAAGAGTCGCTGAACGAGGTGGTTCCAACTGTGAAGCAGTTGGAGTAGGAGAGGGCTTCCCTGAGCACCAAGCTCGTCTTTGAGGAGAGCAAACGAAGGATCACCGAAAGCGAGCGTGAGGCTCAGGCGCAAGAACTAAAGCTGACGAAAGAGGCTTTCTTGGAGCTGAAGGAGAATGTGCAGACCTTGGTGCATAATGGAATGAAGGAGCACATCAACAACTTCATCAGCTCCAGCTCGTTTGACAACATCGTCAACTTATATCGGCTGCCCACTGCCATCATTGCATTCACGGACTGCAGGAAGAAGGTGAAGGCAGAATATCCCGAAGTGGATATTACGAAGATCACCTTCGGAGAGCAAGAAGAAGGAGTGGAGGAAGACGGTGAAAGCATGTCAGCAGACTTCCGTCCTCAGATCAAACTAAGGTGGGAGCATGATGCAAACGGACGTGCTGTTTTCCCTCCACAGTTCGACTTCGAGTTCGTTGCAGTGAGGGAAGAAGGGGCAGAGGTGGAGGAAGACGAGATGGAGGCAGGAGTGGAAGGAGCTAAAGTGGATGAGTGCCAACCAGTTCCAGAAGTGGAAATTCATCCAGTTCCCTCCGACGATGAGCAGCCTCCTCTGCCAGACGAGCAGTAGCCAACATAGCCACCTCCTCCAGCTGAGCAGGAGCCAGTGGAGCCACCTCTCCCAGCGGAGAAATAATTTTATTTTTTAATTTTTTGTAAAAACATTTAGATAGTTTGAAACACTGTTATTTTGTTAAATGAAATTATATGTTTGTTTATGTTTGGTTTATATTTTTGTTATTTAATAGAAGAACTGAGAGTACTTGAGACGTGATTTAAAAGAAGACTAACCACTTCAGAAATAAACAAAAGGGAAGTAAATCACTTCAGACGAATTACAAAGAAGTAAATCACTTCAGATAAATTGAGAACAAGGACATTGTTTGCAAATGAATTAAAAGGAAATAAAGCACTTTGTATGTGAAGTGACATTTATTAATCAGAGGTGAGGTTTCAAGGAATGAAAGAACTAATTGACCTCGGGTACATAGAATAAGAAGTAAAATGAATCTCAACAAACACGAAGTGAGAAGCGTAAAGAACGGTAAGACATAAATTACTTGAAAGAATTTTATTAGGGGTAAAATTTCTTCAAGTTATTGACATTCCAGACTCTAGGAACTCTCTTTCCTTCAGCATCTTGGAGGACATAGGCACCAGGATGTGGCACCTCGGCCACGGCATAAGGGCCTTCCCAATTCGGGGCGAGTTTGCCAAAACGAGTTTCAAACCCTGTTAGGCCAGCTTTTCTGAGAACAAGGTCTCCTACTTTGAATGTTCGAGGGTGGACCCGTTTATTGTAGAAGTTGGCTAGTTTCTGCTTGTATACAAGAGTTTGAAGCCGAGCTTCTTCTCTAACTTCGGCAAGTAGATCAAGGTTTTCCCAAAGCAGTTGTCCATTTCGTCCTTCATCGAAATGGGTGACCCGGAAGCTTGGGACTCCTATTTCAACAGGAATGACTGCTTCGGTGCCAAAGGCCAAGTGGTAGGGTGTTTCACCTATTTCAGTTAGGTATATGTTTAGAATGCGCTTTATGCATTACGCATATTTGCTCTAAGGTAAAGCGTAACAGAAGAAGTAAAATAATATAGAAATTAATCAAATAGACTTGGTTTAAAATGGTACCTGTGGCAGTTCGGCTCGTGGTTCTGTATGCCCAGAGGACGTTGTTGAGCTCGTCTGCCCACTTGGCCTTATACTGTTCCAATCTCGGCCTTATACCTTCCAAAATGCATTTGTTAACAGATTCAACCATACCATTAGACTCCGGATGATAAACGGAGGTGAATTGTAACTTGATCCCATAACTGGAACAGAAATCTCGGAATGAGGAGCAATTGAATTGAGTTCCATTATCGGCCACAATCTGATTCGGGATCCCATATCTATAGATAATCGAGCTAAAAACAAAATCTTCGACCTTCTTGGAAGTAAGACTAGATAAAGGCCGAGCTTCAACCCACTTTGTAAAATAATCCACACCAACAACCAGATGGGTTACACCACCGACCCCTTTCATGAACGGGCCTAAAAGATCCAGTCCCCACTAAGCAATGGCCATGGTGCTACCAAGTTCGTGAGCTCCTCTGCTGGTTGGTGAGTCAGATGTGCAAAGAATTGACATTTCGGGCATTTCTGAACAAAGTAAGTGGCATCTTTATGCATGTTTGGCCAGTAATATCCTTGCCTTAAGACTTTGTGAGCCAGAGTCCTAGCACCGACATGACTTCCACAGACACCTTTGTGCACCTCTCGAAGTGCATATTCAGCTTCATAGGGATTCAAACACCGCAGAAGAGGAAGTGAGGAAGATCTCTTATATAGGATCCCATCAACGAGTGTATATCGAGATGCTTTCTTTCTCAACTTCATTGCCTCCTGCCTATCCTCAGGTGCTATCCCATCTCGCAAAAAGGAGATGATTGCATCAGTCTAGCTTGGCGCGTCAGGGTTTGTGCTAATCTCCATCACCCGAGGCTTCATGAAGCTTGGTTCATCTAAGACCTCGACAAAAACAGATCTAGAACTTAAAGAGCTATCAGAGGCAAACTTGGAGAGTGAATCTGCCTGTTCATTCTCGGTTTGGGGGATTTTGCTCAGACAGAATTTCTGGAATTTGCATTTCAGCTTGGCCACCAAGGCTGCATATTTCACCATCACAGGATCAACGACTTCGCAGATTGAGTTGATTTGGTTTACTACCAATTGGGAGTCACTGTATACTTGAATTACACTAATTTTTAACTCTAATGCTAGCTGTAGGCCAAGTAGCAGAGCTTCATATTCAGCCATGTTATTTGTTGCATCAAAGTTGAATTTCAAAGCATGTTCGCTTCGATAACCCTCTGGGCCAATCAAGAGAGCGCCCGCTCCTGAACCTTTGCTGCTAGATGCCCCGTCAACATATAAGGTCCAGTCGTTGGGCTCTGGATTAGAGGTTGAAGGACATGGGGTGCATTCAACAATGAAATCTGCTAGTGCTTGAGCTCGGATTGTCGATCTTTGCTGAAACGTTAGTTCAAACTCCCCCAGTTCCACTGCCCACTTAATTAATCTTCCAGAGCATTCTAGTTTCTGCAGAATCTGTCGGAGAGGTTGATCTGTGAGAACGATAATTGGGTGTGACTGGAAATATGGCCTCAACTTCTTGGCCGAAGTGACAACTGCTAATGCTGCTTTCTCAGCTATGGGATACCTCAGCTCTGCCCCGTGCAGTACACTGCTGATATAGTAGATTTGTTTCTGCTGCTTGGTTTTTCTCTTACCAGAACCGAACTAATGGCTTCATCTGAAATTCCCAGATACAAATAAAGAATTTCCCCATCGATGGCCTTAGTCAGTAGAGGTGGCGAGTTAAGATAAGACTTCAGCTCGTTGAATGCAGTTTGGCACTCCTGACTCCATTCAAATTTCTTCTGTTTTCTTGATTCATCCTTCTGGGCGGCCGACCTCATAATCTTGAAAAATGGTAGGCACTTATCTGCTGACTTCGATATAAATCGATGAAGAGCTGCCACTCTTCCAGTCAATCTCTGTATATCTTTTACTGATTTCGAGGGTTCCATATCGGCAATGGCTCTGATCTTCTCTGGATTGACCTCAATCCCTCTTCAAGACACCATGAAACCTAGAAACTTTCCGGACTCCACTCCGAAGATGCATTTGGCTGGGTTCAACCGCATCCTGTTCTTTCTGAGGTTGTTGAAGGTTTTGTCGAGATCAGCTAGATGGTCTTCTGCTTTCCGGCTCTTTACTACGATGTCATCGACATACACCTCCAGACTCTTGCCAATCTGAGCTCGGAAGACGATGGTCACCATTTTCTGATAAGTAGCACCAGCGTTCTTTAAGCCAAACGGCATCATGACATAGCAATAAATTTCATCGCCAGCATAGAACGAGGTTTTCTCTTCGTCTTCGGGAGCCATCGGCACCTGGTGATATCCAGAATATGCGTCCAAGAGGCTTAACCTCTCATTGCCTGAAGCCGCTTCAACTAACTTGTCAATGCTCGGCATCAGATAGCAATCCTTGGGGCAGGCTTGGTTAAGATTTGTGTAATCAATGCACATTCGCCATTTACCGTTTGCCTTCTTCACCAGGACTGGGTTAGCCACCCATTCACAGTAATCAACTTTCCTGACGAAACCAGCTTGTAGAAGTTTCTCTGCCTCTTCTTTAATAACCTGAAGCCTCTCCCCCCTGAAGAGACGCTGCTTTTGGGTCACTGGTTTCTTCAATGGATTGGTGCTAAGATTGTGTTAGAATACTGATTTCGGAATTCCTGGCATATCGGCCGAAGTCTATGCGAATACATCATTATTAGCTCGGAGAAAGGTTATTAACTCTGCTCGCTCCTCTGGGTTCAATCTAGTTCCAATCTGCGTCTTTCGGCTCGAATCTCTGTCATCAATGAGCACCTCTTCAACATCTTCGACCGGAGCAGCTCTGGTTTCATCTTCCGAGCGATTATCAACGATCTCAACGCCCATAACTTGCTGGTTATCAGAAATTGGTTGGGGAATGGCCTCGGGTGTCGGATCTTTGCCCTTCATAGGTTGTGTTACGGAGGTGATATAACAATGTTTGGCCACCTCTTGGTTTCCTCGCAGTGTTGCTAATCCCGTAGGAGTCGGGAACTTCATACAGAGGTGAGACTGGGAAACCACAGCTCGGATTTCAGTCAGTGTGGGTCGACCAATAACAATGTTGAAGGAGGACGGCATTTTGACTATAAGGAACCGGACTGATGGAGTCACATAGGTCTTGCCACTCCCGAAAGCCACATGGAGGGTAAGAACTCCTTCTACCAGAACAAGCTGGTTGTTGAAGCCATAGATAGGACCATCATATTTCTGCAACAATGCTGGATCCAGTCCCAAACTCTCGAAACAGTGGAAGTACATGATGTCTGGTACACTCCCGGTGTCAACAAGGACACGTTGTACTTCACAGTTATTAATCATGACAGAAGTGACCAAAGGATCATTGTGGGGTGTAACAACTGTATCGAGATCAGCAGACGTGAAAGTAATGGGCTGATTTTTCCACTCAGCATCTTCGATCTTTCGCTTCTGAGCTCAGTTTTGATGTTTAATCTCTCTGACATACAACTTTCGCTACTTAGAGCTCAATCCACCTGCTTCAAGGCCTCCCGTAATCATGTGTATGATTTTGGCTGGGGGTGGGAGCGGAGGTGGGGCTTGCTGATATCCCACACCTTGCCTATTTGGGGGATTGCGGACTCCTGGGGGCTGCGGCCTCTGTTTTCTGATAAACCTCGGCTGTTCAGTTCTCTGAATATACTCATTTAGCATTCCCTTCTGAGCTAAACTTTCAAGTTCGGACTTTAAGCTGTTGCACTGCTCTGTAGTATGGCCATGATATTGATGAAAATCACAATATCTGGTGTGGTCTCGACTAGCAGCAACAATTTTCATTAGGCCAGGACGCTTTAAATCCATCTTATTATTGATCTGCATAAAAATTTGTGACCTCGACAGATTAAAGGGAGTCCAATTAACTGGAGGTTTACCTGCAGATTGTTGCGGGGGTGTTGAGTTCGGCTTTCCGAATCTCGGTGGGGAGGTCAACATCGGACCTCGGTTCTGCGCCATCCTCATCCTTTTCCTGCTCGGATTGTCATCTCTCCAATCTGGGTGCTGGTTCTTAGTGGGAGGTGGGTTTTGCGCCAGGGTGTACTCCTCAGCAGTTATAAATTTCAGAGACCTATCGTTCACCTCGCTAAAGGTGGTGGCAGCATGTTTGATCAAACTGTCTCTGAACCTGTCATGCTTGAGATCGGAGATTACAGCTGCAATTCCCACAGCTTGATCAAAGGAACTAACCTCTAAAACTGCATCATTAAACCTGCTTATATAGTTCTTCAGAGATTCTCCATCCCTCTGTTTAACTCGCATCAGCTCAGAAGTAGTTTTCCTAATCAACCTTCTACTGGAAAACTTAGTGGCAAAGGCAGATGCCATCTCTGTATAAGAGCTAATTGACCTCGGAGGTAAACTGTAATACCAAGTTCGGGCATTACCTCAGAGAGTAGAGGGGAAGATTTTGCACATTAACGCGTCAGAGGCGTTCTGAGCTTGCATGCAAGAGTAGAAAGCATGCAAATGATCATCAGGATCCTTTGTCCCGTCATAAGTCTCCAGTTGTGGTATTTTGAAGCCAGCAGGATAGGGTTCCAATGTAATGTTGGTATTCAGAGGGTGAGGTATGGAGTCAGCAGTATGGTGTGGGGGTGGAGCGCCTCGGTGTTCAACTACTAGCTTTTCCAAGCTATCGAGGTGTCGAGTGACATCATCAGGGATGGGTTGTTGAGCAGGTACGATGTGGGATTGACCCTGAGATTCACTAATAGCGGGAGCATGCTGAACCAGTTGAGGATTCTGTTGTGGGGCTGGGGGTTGTTGAGCAAGGTTCAGTAGATTAATGAGGGGGTCACCAGGATTGTTTCTGGCTAAAAGTTGAGCCAATACCAACTAAAAAACACCGAACTGTTGTTGCATGGAAGCAAGCTGAGCTGCCACTACGTCTTGGTTGGTAGTTGAAGTGGAATTGTGAGCTGAGGCATGGGGTTGGTTTTCATCTCCTCCTTCGGCATGATCAATAGGAGGGAACATAGTGGGGACCTGAGGTGGAAGCTGAGGTGTAAGTTGGGGTGGGATCAGAGGTGGAAGGTTGGTGGGAGGTTGACCTTGCCCATGAGGCAGAGATGAATTACCAGCTCGGACTGATCGAGTGTGAACCATGATGAAAGAGCAACTAAAAAGCTTTCAGTTCGATTCCCATAGACGGCGCCAATGTAATTGCACCAAACCAGAAGTCTTTCTTCAGTCCGCGCCTGCACTCCGGGATGACCAACAAAGCCCCGAGGTGGAACTCGGGGTAGACACTCTGATGCTTAAGTCAGCAATAATCGGGGCTACCTTTAGGGCGGAGATAAAAAGAGCTTAGGGTTAGTTTCAATTACCTTTTTACGTGGCCCGGGGGGGTATTTATAGGATCCAATGAGGAACCCACGTGGCATGCCAAGCAAGATATTCGGGATCTGATGTGTATCTCCAAACGGTTATTTCGGGACCGGGAAATTGAGAGATATTCCGATGGGAGGATGCTTATCATAACCGCTGTGTAGCTCATCATAAGGAATCGGGTGCGGGCCTGCTCATTGTTACTGTCATGCAGCTATTTGAGCGGGAAGCTTTGGGTTTATCCTTCACTTCGGTCATAAAGGAATTACTGTAGCAGTCCGAGGCTTGGCACCTCGGACCTGTCCTTACAAGTCCTAAACATCTCCTCCGAGCCAGCAACGTTTATTCAGGTTTGTGTTTAGATGGTAAGAAATTAGTCTTGCTTGTTCATGTTGAAAATATCAAAAGTTGTTCTATGTATCAGGAAGCAATCCCCCAAATTATTGAGAAAACGAAGGCAGATTTCTTTACGAATATCAAAGGCATACTGAAGGAGGCTGCAGACTTATGCTATGATAGTGTTAATGACATAACCTGCATGAGTTGCGCTAAGAAACCTGGGGCAGCCATGTCTGCAATGGTGAGAAAAATCATTTAAATCTTGACATTTTGTGTTAAAGAAGCTGAACTTTCTGTTGTTAACTCCTATTATAGGTCAAGTTGGATCTTTTGTTGTTGGAAGGAATTAATGATGATATAGAGTTCTGCATGAAGCTTGCTCAGGAGGAATCTGTCCTTGTTTTTCCAGGTAACAAATCAAAATTCTTTAGGTTTCTTAAATTAGGTAATTTGATTTCAACACACAAAAGTTTTGCAGTAATATTAATTGGTAAGACAATTCAACTTACAGATGCCTTTTTTAGGCCTTTTATGGTGTTTTTCAGCTTGGATTAGCACTTTTTTTAACTCTTCTCGACTAAAAAAAACATTTATGTTCAACATTTCTTAGTTCCTTGAGATGGAAGAAAAATGCAGAAGTTAGTCCTCAGTTTGTTTTACACCTTGCAGGGGTAGCTGTGGGAATGAAGACTGGATTCGCATTACTTTTGCAATCACACATCCGTCTCTCGAAGAAGGGCTTGAAAGAACAAAAGCCTTTTGCAAACAGCATGCCAAGAATCATTAATTAAGGAGATTTATATTCTTTTGGATGTTAAAATTGAGTTGTTAATTAACTAGTAAGAACCCCTGCTCAAAACCGCAAAACGAAAAGGGTCTTGGAGATTATCTCCTGCTTTGGTTTGACCTATTTCTACTAAGTACAATGGTGTCCACGTTACATCTTAGCATTTGTTT